AGACCGCAGGACGTCAATGGATTTTCGGTGTGGGAACGTCACGATTCCCATTGCAAAACCATCGAAGCCCAAGAAACCCAGGGCACCCTGGAGGCGAGCAGGGGCCCAAGAGGGTCCACGAGGCCTCCAAAACAGGCCAGGAGCGCTTCAAGACGCCAAAGATGGCTCCAAGACGGCCCAAGAGGCCCAAAAGAAGCTCCAAAAACGCTCCAAGAGGGCCCCCGAGAGGGCCCAAAGAAACAAACATGTTTAATTTGCCATGTGGTTTTTGATGTGCTTCGCGTCTCGCGTTTTCGGGCTTTCGGCCCAATCTGTCCCCTAGGAGGGCCCAACCCTGGAGCACCCTAAGAGAGCCCCCAGTCGGCCCAGAGAGGCCCCCAAGACAGTTTCCGACGGCGTCAGACAGGCCGGGAGCCCATCAAGATGGCCCAAGATGGCTCTGAGATGGCCCAAGACTGCCCAAAAGACCCCTAAGAGGCCCCAAAAACTGCCCAAGGTTTCTAAAAGATTGTTGCATTTGCTTCTTTTCGGCCTTCCGACTGCCCGAGACGGCTCAAGAGCTCATAAAGATCGCCCAAGAGGCCTCCAGGACGGCCCCAGAACTGCCCAAGAGGCCCTCAAGACGGCCCCGAGACTCCCCAGACGGCCCAAGAGGCCTCCAAGACGCCCAAGACGGCCTCCAAAACGGCCCTGGGGCACCCCAAGAGGGTTTCCAATCGGTCCAGAGGGGCCCCCAAGAAGGCTTCCGACGGCGTTGGACGGGCCAGGAATGCCCTGAAACCACCAAAGAGGCCCCCGAGAAGCCCCCAAAGGCCCCCAAGAGGCCCAAGGAGGCCCTCAAGATGCCCCCCAAGAGGCTCCCAGGAAGCTCCCAGCAGGCCCCAAGAGTGCCCCCAGAGGCTCCCAAGATGGCCCGTCCTCCTCCTCCTCCTCCTCCTCCTCCTCCTCCTCCTCTTCTTCTTCTTCTGATTATTATTAGTCTTCTTCTCATTATTATTCTTATTTTTCTTAGTATTATTATTAGTAGTAGTAGTACTACTAGTATGATTAGTATTATTATTAGTATTACTATTAGTATGAGTATTATTATTATTACTATTATTATTATTATTATTATTATTATTAGCAGTAGTAGTAGTAGTAGTATTATTAGTATTATTATTAGTAGTAGTAGTATTATTATTACAAATACTAGTATTATTATTATTCCTCTTCCTCTTCCTCCTCCTCCTCCTCCTCCTCCTCCTCCTCCTCCTCCTCCTCCTCCCTCCTCCTCCTCCTCCTCCTCCGCCTCCGCCTCCTCCTGCTCCTGCTCCTCCTCCTCCTCCTCCTCCTCCTCCTCCTCCTCCTCCTCTCCACCTCCTCCTCCTCCTCCTCCTCCTCCTCCTCCTCCTCCTCCTCTCCTCCTCCTTCTGCTCCTCCTTCTCCTCCTCATCCTCATCCTCCTTTTCCTCCTCCTACTCCTCCTCCTGATCTTCCCCGCCAACCTCCCCCAAAGTTCCCCGAAGGGTTTCCACAACGGTTGGGGGATCACATGGTCCGATAGCTTGGCAGAGCTCTTGCCACAACGCTCGGACACATGGGCGCTTTCAAACCTCTTGCTCCCCCACGCGTTCCCCGAAGGTTCTCCAAACCGACTCGGGAACAACTGGCCCGATAGCTTAGCTTGGCCAAGCTATAGCCCAGCGGTCGGCCACAAAGGCGCTTGCGCAAGGGCAGGGGGCGGCGGTGATTCGCCGTAGGCGTCTTCGATAAATGTGTATGTGCCACGTGTTGCCCATGTGTATATATGGGAACAGTAACGAACATGCCGGGTACACAATGCTCATCCGCAACGAGGATTCGGAAGAGAAAACGGGAGCACGATGACTCGGGGCGAATTACAAAGATACATATGGGGAGGAAGAAGGAAACAGACGAAATAGGGAAGGGGGTGGTGATGATGGTGATGGTGATGATGAAGATGATGCTGGGGGAGGAGGAGGAGGAAGAGGAGGAGGAGGAGGAGGAGGAGGAGGAGGAGGAGTCTGTCCGCTGCCCGCATGTGAATGCACGTCATAACGGTGACATTTTATGTGCGATACCCCTGTCGGATGCCAAAGTTGCAACTCCAGGTACCACGGTGCCTTCGCAGAGAGCGGACATAAGGAGAGGACATGGGAGGATGGGGGGGGGATGACGGAGGGGGGGCAGAGGGAAGGGATGGGTGGGGATGATGAAGGAAGGAGGGAGGGATTGGGGAGGGAAGAGAAGGGAGGAGCAACAGGAGGAGGAGGAGGAGGACGAGGAGGAGGACGGAGAACTGGGAGAACGCACATGACACCAGGGCCGCCAGGGCCTGCGACGCGAACGCGCATGCAACACATAATCACACGCGACAGTGATGTGGTGTCAGCGTTTTTTCGTTCTTTGGCGGGGGCCAACCCGCGCGGCTCCTGCACCAGAACAACGATGAATGTGGTGCTCGTTCTAGCGCGGAGCCCGTGCGGGATGGCTCCCGCACCGGCTCCCGCGACGCAATACCTTCTGCACTTTGCCGCCGGGGCCAGCCCGCGGCGCAAGCCGTGATCAGTATACGCGTGGTTATATAACACAGGTGTGTCAGAGGCAAGGAGTTTGATCCTTATACGCGCGGCTGCATAGATACAAAGTGTGTCAGAGGCAATGGCGAACAACTTCTTGTTGCCGTGCCATCTATGATGTCTGTATCAAACACGTGATGGGGGCAGATACAAGCATTGTAGGTATACTGGTAGCCAGAACGCACACCACTTATACGATGCACACTAGCTGTCGCTTTAAATCCACAACAGCATACATTTCCACGCATACATTCACACCTAATTATATGCACACGTCCATACACACATCAACCATCTGCGTGGCACGCATGTAGTGCAACGCTGGGTTTCCTAATCATGTTTTAACCCCCAGAGCGGGAACAACGGGGGACAAGCCCACAAAACTCGCGGCCATTTGGAACAGGCATGTTGGTGTACTATGTTGGAGCCTCTCGGGGGCTCTCGTGGGGCTCTCTTGGGGCCTCTCGGGGGCTCTCTTGGAGCCTCTCTTGGAGCCTGGTGCCTTTGTGGGCTCTCTTGGGGCCTCTCAGGGGCCTCTCGGAGGCCTCCAAATGACCTCTTGGGGACCTCCTGGGATCCTCCTGGGGGCTCTTCGGGGCATCAGACAGCCTCCTCGGGGCCAGCTGGGGGCTCTTGGAAGCGTGCGGGGCTATGGACAACGTTCTGGGTTGTCTTGAAGCGCTGTCGGTCCGCCTGACGTCTTTGGATGGTGTCTAGGGGGCCTCCCTGAGCCGCCTTAGGGCGCCCTAGGGCCACATTCGACGTCCCATGGGGCCGTTTTGGAAGGCTATTGGGCGCTCCTGGGGCCGTCCTGGGGCCCTCCTGGGCCGTCCAAGATTGTGGACGTTCCTGGCGACTCTCCTCATTCGGCGAGTTCTCTTTGGATTCCTTCCTTCGCTAGGTCATGTATCCTTCATTGCGCCATGAATTGCGTTCCAGTTGTTGATCTCTATAGGTCGCGCTGCGCTAGTCCTTGGGGGGAACGCCCTGCATACGGCGAAATAAAAGAAAGACGGACGAGGTAGGCAAAGAGGAGGAGTAGGAGTAGGAAAAGGAGGAGGATGATAGCGAGAGGAATGAGAGGGAGAAGGAGGAGGAGGAGGAGAAAGTGTAGGAGGGAAGGGAGATGATTAGGAACGCAGGAACAGGGATGCAAGGGGTGCTGCGACTTGTCAACGAAGCCCCTGAGGTAGGCGGCGGGCATCGTGCGATATCTGGTGGTGCGTGGCTTTGGTTCGCGCTGCGCTTAGCTTGGCGGAGATCGCTATGCTTACGGCGATATACAGGGTAGATGGAAGAGGTAGGTAAAGAGAGAAGAGGAAGAACAGGAGGAGAGAGAGAGGATGATAGCGAGAGGGATGAGGAGGAGAGGGAGGAGGAGGAGGACGAGGAGGAGGAGGAGGAGGAGGTGAATTGGAACGTGGGGACGGGGATGGCAACAGAAAGGGTTGCGTAACCTGCAGCAGGACAACACTGCTTCAGGGGGAATGCGGCCTTTGTCTGGGACACATCCCTGGCGCCTCGGAGCAACCACTGAGGATACACGTCGTTCATTTCTAATCGTGCTCATTTCTAAGTGTGCTCGTTTCTAATTGTTCCTGGCCCCCTAGTGGCCAGGAAGAGGCCCAGGACAGAATAATTAGAACTGAAAGGATCTTGGCCCCAGAAAAATCAAATAACTTCCGAACACTTAGACATGAACCATGTGTATGCTCACAAGATCGCAACCGCTGCTCACACGTGAACCACCCCCACGCTGGCACGTCCACAGGCTGGCTGGCCCCGCCCGTTGCGACCTCGGCCCGCTCGGCCGTGAAAAGCCTGCCGCTCTCGTCCTTTCGCACGGGCTCTGACATTCGGGCGCCAGCTTCGCCCCGCCCGTTCTGCGAGGCGTCGCGGGGACCTGCTGACTGAGTGGACGCGTCAGTAGGAACGAGGAGGAGGAGGAGGAGGAGGAGGAGGAGGAGGCAGAGGGGGGAGGAGGAAGAGGGGGGAGGATGAAGAGGGCGGGCACAGAAAGAGTGGAGTGGGGAGGAAGGAAAAGAAGTGAGGGAGGGATGAGGGAAAACGGAGATAACGAGGACGAGGTTGGTTGGTCGGTTGGTTGGTGACCTCCCATGGAGGGATGAAGGAGGAGGCGGAAGAAGAATACGAGCAGAAGGGAGGAGGCAGAAGAACGAAACATGACAAACAGACATGGGGGGAGCAGCAAAAGGTAAGGAGGGAGGGAGGGGGGGGAAGGGAGGGGGGTGAGGAGGGGGAGGGAAGGTGGGGGCGAGGCAGAGGGGGAGGGAGGCAGGGAGGGGGGGAGGCAGAGAGGGGGGGGGATGCAGTCAGGGATGGAGGCAGAGAGGCGGGGAGCCTCCGAGACGGCCCGGCGCGGCGCGCGCCCCCGCGTTCCCCTCCCCCTGGGGTTTTCGCGATCCGCGGGCCACCGCGCGGCCCCCCGGGGGTCGGCGGGAGACCGCGCCAACGGGGCGCCCCGCGCGCGCAGAAGGGCGGAAGCAAGGCGTCGCACTGTATGGAGGAAGGGGAGGGTGCGCGGGGGGGGGGGGGGGGGGGGGCAGAGAAGGACGCGAGGGGGAGGGGGGTGCGATGGGGGACGGGAGGGGAAGGGGGGATGCGAGGAGGAGAGGGGGGGGGAGGGGGATGCGAGGGGGACGGAGGATGCGAGGGCTCGCACGTGATGGCCGAGGGGAAACAAGCTGCATTCTGGCCGCTGACCTCTCCACCACCCACTGCCCCCCTCGGGGACACCAATCGGTACCGACACCGCTGCCCCATCGGACCATTTCCGCGGCGAGCCCGGCGGTTGCGACGAGGGCCTCCCGGGAGGCCCAGCAGGGCGACGAAGCGAGAGGAGGGCAGCGGTATCGGCACCCTTTCCTCCTCGGACCCCCCCTGCCCCTGCCTCTATCCCCCTTCACCCCCGCGCAGCAGACCACGATCGTTGCTGACAGGGGGGTCGCCCGTCTACGTTGGTCGCGAATGAGCGGGGGAGACCCAAAGGCACCTTACCTTAAAGGGCCCAGAGGCCCCCTAAAAGGCCCTCCAAAGGGCCCTGAAGGGCCCCAAAGGCCCAAAGGCCAAACGGCCCAAAGGGCCCAAAGGGGCCCCAAGGGCCCTGGAGGGCCCTAAATGGTCCAAAAGGCCCGCGGGCCCTAAGGGCCCCAAAGGGCCCCAGGGTGCCCTCGTCGGGGCCCACGGGCCCGCCCGGGAGGGCCCCATACGGGGCCCCTTCTCTGCGAGGCCCTCGCTGCGCCCCCCCATCGATCGCCCCGCCCCGATGTCTGCAGCCGTCGCTGCCCCACCCCGAATCAATCGCCCCCCCTGCGCGCGGAGGAGGACGAGGAGGAGGAGGAGGAGGAGGAGGAGGAGGAGAAGAAGGAGGAGGAGCCGGAGCAGGAGGAGGAGGAGGAGGAGGAGGAGGAGAAGGAGGAGCAGGAGGAGGAGGAGGAGGAGCAGAAGGAGAAGGAGGAGGAGGAGGAGGAGGAGGAGGAGGAGGAGGAGTGTCGGGTCTCCTGGAAACGCGCGCCGATCTGCCCCAGCTGCGTGCGGAAATCGCCCCTCGCCAGACGAGGCGGCCCCTTCCCTCCACTTCTTCTGCGGGCCCCGCCCAAGGGGGGGGAAGGGCGGCTCGCGAGACCGAGACGGCGCTTGCATACCAACATGTTCGTAGAACAAAACACCAGACGTAATGATAGGACCAGAAGCGCTGCTCTCAGAACGACCCTCGGATGCATTACATCAGGACGGTTTCCACCGTACATGTCCTAAGAGCACCTCGTCCAAACCAGAACAAGGTTCTCTTACAGCGTCCTTCGGCGGCGAGCCAGGGGGTGGGAGTGAGAAGGAGAAGGCCTTCTGAGAAGGCGGCGGGGCTTCCCTGAATCCTTCCCGCCTTCTGGGAAACTTCCGGTGTCGTCGGGGAAGGCTGAGAAAACTTCTCAGAAGGCCGGGGGACTTCCGAGCCTACTGAGAAGGCCTTCTCCTTCTCACTCCCCCCTCGCTCGCCGCCGATTGATGCCTGGTCATATTGCAGAGGCTAGAACCCAAACTGATAGTGAGGATGCGCGATAAGGATGCAAGCCTCTTGGGCGCCCATGTCGAATCTTTTTGAGCGGGATTGATTATCGACCGTAGGTGAGGGTGGACCGACAAGGAAAGGATTTCAGGGCACCCTTGGGAACACTACCCATCCTTATCATCGGTTTCTACTGCAAGCGCCGTGCTCTCTCTCTCTCTCTCTCTCTCTCTCTCTCTCCCTCAACCAGTATTTTCTGTACCCCCTCAAGGGCTAGTTTGCTTGTCGTGTAGCCCCGTGTGTACGGCATCAGAACCTGTGGACGAGCAAGGAGCATTCCCATGCCGACGACGTTCAGGGAGTGAGCGAGCTCTCCATCCTCCTCCTCGTCCGCCCTCCTCCATCCTTCCTCCCTGCTCTTCCATCCTCCTTTCTCCTTGCCCGCGTTTCTTTCTTCATCGTCCTTCATCAGAGTGAGGGGGGGCCGAACGCTCATGCTTTGTTCCCTGGTGCGTGGCTGAAGTGGGGATCCGCGGGAAGGATTCTGCTTGTTGTTTGCTGGTGCGTGGCTGAAGGATTCTGAAAAATAAATATTGTTGATCCCCCCCACCGGTGCATGCTGTTTTTTCTCCATCAAAGCGTGCCCCTCGACGCTCGTACCCTGTTTGTTTTTTTATCAGGGAAAGTCTTGAGGCTCAAACTGGGCCCCTGGCCCCCCGGATTATAACAACACCGGTTCCCGCCTGAGACTTCCTCTAAATTTACTCAAGACCCCCGCTCTTGAAACGTCCTCACAATTTAATCAGAATCGGTGCTCCCGCCTGAGACTCCAT